AATAAAATAAAATAAAATAAAATAAAATAAAATAAAAATATATATATTTTTTTTTTACATGCAGTGATGAAACATTCACAATAAAACCAAGCAAAAATCTTAATGAAATAATTGGGTAAATTTATGTTATTATGTTATTTTTAAATACTGTTTCCATTTTCAAGATCTCACCCGAATCTATACAACAGCACTTCACCCAGAGAAACTCCAGCGTATTCAGCTCTTACAGAAACAGTCTCTCTCAAACAGAAAAAAGAGGGCTGAGGAGATCTAAGGCTCAGAGAAATCCATTAGTGAAGGTGAGCCCTCGCACCGCTGGACGCCTCATTGTCCCGCCGGCGGCCCGCGGATGACTGACAGGAATGATTGGTATGCAGCGAGGACATTATGTTATTTTTAAATACTGTTTTCATTTTCAAGATCTCACCCGAATCTATACAACAGCACTTCACCCAGAGAAACTCCAGCGTATTCAGCTCTTACAGAAACAATCTCTCTCAAACAGAAAAAAAGAGGGCTGAGGAGATCTAAGGCTCAGAGAAATCCATTAGTGAAGGTGAGCCCTCGCACCACTGGACGCCTCATTGTCCCGCCGGCGGCCCGCGGATGACTGACAGGAATGATTGGTATGCAGCGAGGACAGTGTCGTCCTTTAAAAAACCTCTCCCTGAAAGCATTCATCATACAGAACGACAGAACGAGGCAGAGGAAAAGACACAGAACCACCACGAGATGAGACATCTCATATTATGAGAAAAGATAGAAAGAACCAGTATGAAGAACTACACAATAACACATAACACACACTGTGCCATTAAAGGGGAGAGACTCGATTTAGTCCTCCACGAGATCGATAACCAGTACACACACACACACACACATTGATCAGCATGTAGTCGTTTATATTTCATCCTCCAGAATCAATCGCCCCGCAGCTTCTGGAACTCTGTAATCTGTTCATCAATTCTTTCTGATTCAGGTATCGGCCAAAGCAGCACGTTTCCCAATCAAGTTATTAATCAGGTGATCCATGGAGGTGATCGGGGGAAGGGGACATCACCCGCAGGGTGTCAGAAGGGCACGTAGACTAAGAAAATGCAGCTCTGCAAGCCAACAGAAACCTATGAAGCACTTTATGGCGGCTACATTTCCAACTGGATGGGATTTTTATGCTTTTGGTGGACTGGACAGGGCAGAGAGAAAGGAAAGTGTGCATATGCACTACAGCAGTGACACAGGGTTCAAAATCAACAGCGAATCGAGAAAATTAACAATCAAAAATATTGGAAAACACAAGAAAATGCATTTAGCTTTTATAAAAAAAAAACACTACCCTTCGAAAGAATGCTGTATGAAAGGGTTTTTTTTTTATGTTTTGAAAGAAGTCTCCATCATTACTCCAGTCTTCAGTCTCACATGATTCTTCAGAAATCATCCAATATGCTAATATTTCTACTCAAGAAACAATTCTTAATATTACCAGTGTTAAAAGTTGTTTTTATTTCATGGAGACCCAGATAAAAAAAAATTCAGGAGTCTTTGACGAATAGAAAGTTCAAAAGAACAGCATTTCTGCCACTTTCGATTTATTCAATTTGTTGCATCCTTGATGAAAATAATAATTACTGACCTCTAAATTGGATGATATATTAATTTTTAAAAATTACTTTAATTTATTAAATTTATATGTGTTCTGAATTCATGATAAATGTACGAGTTTCTAAAATTTTTTGTTTATATTTAAAAATCCAATAAAGTTGCGTGGATGGTGTATATGTACTAAGCCAGAGGGTTTTTAAAAATGTATTTATTTAAAAATGTATTTATGAAGAGTTCAGATGCAAAAGCCTCTAAGTGCCGTTTGAAATTTTCTTCTAAAATGAGCATTTTTCTTAGGCTCCTATGTTTATGATCGGTTATTTCACTTTAATGGCAATGAAAAGAACCTATTCATTGCCATTAAAGTGAAATAACCGATCATAAACATAGGAGCCTAAGAAAAATGCTCATTTTAGAAAAAAATTTCAAACGGCACTTAGAGGCTTTTGCATCTGAACTCTTCAAATATACACACACACACACACACATATATATATATATCTTGCTCTCCTCTATAGTTCTCAAATCTAATTGAGCATTTTCAATGTCAATTGAATGTCAATCAATTAATGTCAATGACACCAAATACCATTTGAGTGTCTCCACCAATCACAACATGGCAAGTTTGAATATGCAAATGTAATTTGGGAGCTGCAGCATTGAGAAAAATGTTCAGTATTTCATAAAAGAAATAAAATCATACGGGTTCAAAAAGACACACAGGTAAGCAAATGATGGCTGAATGTTGATTTTTGGGTGAACTATCCCTTTAATAAGGCCCCGTCCACACGGAGATGCGTTTAGCTGTATATATTTTGTGTCGGTTTCGTGGTTTCATGTGGACGCAGATATTTCTTGAGACGAGGAGAAAAAAAAAGATCGGATAGGGAAAGCTCTGGCTTCGTGTGGACGTAGCCTAAATGACATGATAACATTTTCTGTTCATAAGTTATCAGCTCCCAAAAGAGGAAACAAGTAAAAAAAAAAAAAATGACAGTCAAATTTTAATCATGATTTTTCTCATCTTAAACACTTAAGTCAGGCGGGGAATAAAACAGTCACATTTGCGTTTTATCCTTCATTCCTTCAAACGAAAGCATGTCATGTGGTGAATCCTGTCTCCTTAAGTTTGCATTTCTCTGCAAATCTTCAAAAAAAGACCCTAAAGGCAATTTCAGAGAGACGCATCAAAAACCTGCTGCGACGTATACGCAGACACTGTAAGCGTGTGTGTGTCTGTCTCTCCGAAGCTCTATGAAAGTCAGAAAGTGTGACCTGCTGCAGCTCTGGTTCATGAGAGTAACTTTCATGAAATGGAGAGCTGTCAGTGGAGGAGAGCGTCAGGTAATGCCGTCTGACAGTCTACTGACTTCAATCAGCCACACAGACGGCGTTACATCCCGCCAGTGAAGGAGGAGTCCGTGTGTGTGTGTGTGTGTACCTCTGACACTCGCTGGCGTGCAGCACCAGGTCCTGGTTGTTCTTGGCAGACAGCGTGAGCTCATGTTCGGTCGCGTTGAACACATCCAGCAGTAGATGACATTGACGAGTACTGCAGAAACATGGAGAAAGACAAACCGAGGAAGTATTAATGAAGTACAGAATTCACACTTCATTTAATCATTTAAGTTTGAATGCAATGTCTCTGTCAAAGCAAAATCAAGTAAAATGTGTAAATGTGCACAACTGCAGCAGGACTTTAGAGCGTTGGTTAGGACAAAGAAATCATATTGCACTGGACAAATTAATCCAATTAAACAAGATATTGTGAAATGATTTATAAAAGTCCATTTCTGAAGTTTTTAATGAGCAATATTTAGAATATATAGAATTGTTATTTTATTTGTATTTTTTGTAATTACTTTATTGTAATTATTTGTATTATTATTTTTATTTGAAACACTTATTATGTAAAAAAAAATACATATTTTGTTTATTCGATATACACTACTATAGAAAAGCAAGATTTTTTTATGGAAGAAATAAATGTCTATTCACTATTTTTTTTAAATAAAATGTTAAATAAAAACTATTAATCAAAGAATCCTGAAAAAAGAAAATGAGCACCAAATCATCATATTAGAATGATTTCAGAAGGATCATGTGACACTTCAAGGAATAGCTTTGCATCACAGGAATACAATACATTTTAAAATATATTCAAATTGAAAACAGTTATTTTAAATTGTAAAAAAATCTAATAAAATAAAAAAAATCAACAATATTTATTTTTTGCTGCATTTTTTAAATGTGCCCTTGGTGAGCATGATCTTTTGTTATAGTAATGTTTATATAAAAATATCTACAAAATTTGCTTGATTTAAATATTTTTGATATTAATTCTGACATCAGTTTATACTACTGACACAAGCACACAAATAAATGTAAGTACACACACACACACACACACACCAAACCAGATGGGCACAAGAGGTCATGCAGATGTACTTGTCATCTTCTGTCCAAACATCAAAGGTTAGCATCTCTTTCATGTAGCGAAAGCTTTGTGTGTGTGTGTGTTACCTGCATCTTTATTTATGGAAACAAATTCTCAAACCCACCACAGTAACACAATACACACAAATCAAATTCTACCCTGCTTGTATTTCCTCCCCTAAAGTCTACTTATAACATTAGTCATGGTTTCTTGCAGCAAAAACAGTCATAATTTAGTTTTGGTGACTATTTTCTATCTTCATCTTCTCTCGCCATTAGAATCAAATAGTCCATGTGTACCTTTAAAGGGGTCATATGATGCGATTTCAAGTTTTCCTTTCTCTTTGGAGTGTTACAAGCTGATTGTGCATAGATAAGATCCCTGAAGTTGCAAAGACTAAAGTCTCAAAACCAAAGAGATATTCTTTATCAAAGTTAAGACTCTGCCACGCCCCCCTAAAACGGCTCGTTCTAACACACCCCACATATCTACCCACACTATATGGAAATATTTGCATAATGCCACCCAAATGTTCA